GACAGAGGATGAGATGGCTGGATGGCATCACCGACTCGATGGACATGAGTTTGAGTAAACTCCGGGAGTTGGTGATGGACAGGGAGGCCTGGCATGCTGCGATTCATGGGATTGCAAAAAGTCGGACACGACTGATTGACCGAACTGAACTGAAGACATTGCCGGCCTGCTCACAAAACAAAGGACTGAGCGAATACCAGAGGAGAGCTAGCTGACTGTGGTCTGGCCCAACCCCCGCCGGAGACAGGGGGGCAGGAGGGGGGCAGCCAGAGCCGGAAAGGCACAATCTCGGCCCCAGAGAGGCATCCTCTACCAAACCACAAGCAGGCTCCCAGTTGCTGACAAAATCTTCCTGGGGTCTTGGACGGTTGACATCCGCAGGGAGGGTCGCAGTCAGTGCTCGGCTCCCCAGAGGAGACACATGGCACACCTGAGCCGGGCGCGCCCACTTCCACCCAGGAAACCAGGCGGCTGGGACGGGGAGGTGATACGATGAGCCCGCATCTGGGGTGACTGCACTCGCCAAGTGCCTGAGCTGCTCAGGCCTGGAATGGGCACAAAACGCAGGCCCAACCGAGTCTGCGCCTTTGTGGAGTACCCAAGAACCTGAACCTGAGCGGCTTAGACCTGCGAAGTGCATGAAACCCAGGGCCTGCTCCCTGCAGAGCAACCTGGAGCCTGAGCAGTGTAGACCGCGAAAACACACACGCTGTGAGCGGGGGCAAACCCAGTGTGGCCGAGACCCTGTGAGCACTCCCCACACACGCCAGTGACATTTGTTTGCAGTGCCCCTGCCTCCCCACAGCATGACTGAACAAGTGAGTCGAAATAAGTGACCGCCTCCGCCCCCCTGTGTCAGGGTGGACATTAGACACTGAAGAGACCAGCAAACAGAAGAAGCCAAGATAAACAGAGGGAAACACTTTGGAAGTGACAGGTGCAACAGATTAAAACCCTGTTGTTAGCACCGACTATATAGGAAGGGGGCTATCGATCTTGAGAAGTATAAGCTAGATAAGGAACTATCTGAAACTGAACTAAC